GCTAAAAATCCTATAGTGTGAGCCAGGCTTTATGCCGAGTTCACACTGCACGATTTTAGCCCGATTTTTCACTCGCTTCCAGACAGTTTCAAAGTTGTCCCTTGTCTGCGCTTCGATTCGTTTTCTCCTATTTTCCACACATGTTCCCGTCTTAAGCACCGCAGTCACAGATTTCGTCGCACACAGAGCCGTTCACGTTTGAACTCACGTGACTTGCTGCATGCTCTCATTCACGTCCTCCACATTCATAACCCAGCAACATCGGGTTATTACTGATATAAACCCAAATTGGGTCACATCAAGCCAGCTTCCTAACCCAACAGTCTCAACCGAGCATTTGGATTGAAACAATTACCAGCGTGTTTTATATGTGTAGGATAAAAAAGTACACAGTGTATGTTTTTGCTTAATCGCTTGCAAATATAAGATTGTTAGGTCATACATACCCTGTAATATTAGAATAGGTACCGCTTAGTTTCAAAATACTTACAGTAGAAATAATTTATCCCCCAAACTTCGCATATTGTTACCTTATACCTACACGGAGGTACTGAATAGGTACACTGTAATTACAAAAAAGTTACGCTGTAAATTCTGTTTACTTACGCAGTACATTGCGGGTTGTAATCTAAAGCATTACCGTTTGTTTTAAAAGGGTCTCTCTTTCTCTCTCAATATGTAGCGTTGAAAGTCTTTGTTCGGTTCATGTATGAAGAGATTTATTTAAAACAAACAAAAGATTAACAGTCCCTACCATGTTTTCGGCTTGATTATGTAGGCTAAATAGGGTGTGTTTAATATTTTATTTAAATTGAACTGTTTTAAGTTTGATACTGACACTCAAGAATGTTCATTCCACATTTGTTGTGTCAGCAAATAGATTGTATTATTGGATTTGATTAAATACCTTTACTGTTTTTTGTCTCTTCTATGCAGTTTAGGTGCGGATAGAGATCCACACAGGTGTCACATTAAAACAGGATTCTTTCTGCTACTTACATTAGTGTTCTTATTGACTGCCATTACTTACGTCTCTGAATTCCCTCTCAAGACTGCTGTGCTCCCTGACACCTTGTATAAAAAAGTGCTAAATCGGATACGCTCCTATTATGTGGTGACTGAGTACCTGTCTGCCAGTGAAAATCAAACAATATTTTTAGCAGCCAACAGTGTCCAACAGAGTCCTACACAAACCACAGACATTTCGGTGAATCATCATGTGGCTCATCCAAGCAACTATCATTTCACTCTGGATGAACCTGATAAATGTAAGCAGGATCCGTTCCTGGTCTTGATGGTCCCTGTGGCCCCCCATGAGGTAGAGGCTCGTAACGCCATCCGCAGCACATGGGGGAATGAGAGCTCAGTGCAGGGAAAAGCAGTGCTGACTCTGTTCTTGGTGGGTTTGACTGGAGGAGCCGAAGCTCAACAGCAGCTGGAGGAAGAGAGTCGACAACACAGAGATATACTGCAGAGCAATTTTGTGGACTCCTACTTCAATCTGACCATAAAGACCATGGTGATCATGGACTGGTTGGCCACTCGTTGTTCTCAAGCAGCTTATGCTATGAAGGTTGATTCTGACATGTACATAAACCTGGAGAATCTGATGAGCCTCTTATTGTCACCCAACACACCCAGACAGAACTACATCACAGGGTATTTGATGTGGGACCGGCCTGTTATCAGAGACAAAAACTCTAAATGGTACGTGGCAGAGGAACTGTACCCTGAACCGAAATACCCCACGTACCTGCTGGGAATGGGATATGTTTTCTCCAATGACCTTTCAGAAAAAATAGTTGAGGCTTCCAAGGAAGTAAAAGCATTTAACATAGAAGACGCATATGTGGGTGCTTGTCTGAGACAGTTGGGCGTTGCACCTTCATCTCCCCCAGACCCTTCACAGTTTAGAGCCTATCTGGGACAATATAATCGAGAAGATTTTCTCAGAGTTATTACGACAATCCTGGGATCCCCACAGCAGCTAATAGACATTTGGAAGGATGTAAAGAGGCCCATATAAAACAAATCAAAAGGGAATAGATTAGTGGTAGCCTTCATTATTTTATTTATAAAAGACTGTTAGACAATGGCAGACACAATCAGTGAAATAAAGACTAAAAAATGTAAATGCTATTTGTTTGTATAGCTCATACAGTAAATATTTATTTATAAATGTATATTTTTTAATTATTCTGTTATTTTTTCTTTTACATTATTTATTTATATTTAGTTATATGTGACCCTGGAGCACAAAACCAGTCTTAAGTCGCTGGGGTATATTTGTAGCAATAGCCATCAATACATTGTATGGGTCAAAATGATCGATTTTTCTTTTATGCCAAAAATCTTTAGGATATTAGGTAAAGATCATGTTCCATGAAGATATTTTGTAAATCTCCTATCGTAAATATATTAAAACTGAATTTTTGATTAGTAATATGCATTGCTAAGAACTTCATTTGGACAGCAGATTTTCAAATAGTTGTATCTCAGCCAAATATTGTCCTATCATAACAAACCATACATCAATGGAAAGATTATTACTTCAAATGTCAGATGATGTATAAATCTCAATTTCAAAAACTGTACCCTTATGACTGGTTTTGTGGTCCAGGGTCATATATTTAATTATATACATATCATTATTATACAGAATAATGCACTTATACTGTCATTATGCATTATTGCATTTAGAATTTTATATTAGATTTTAAATTTAAAAAAAAGAATTTTATTTGATCGTTGTTGTTTTCAGCTCTGTCCGACTCAAGTGTTGACAAGGTCACATTGGCACCGTCATCTTGTATTTTGCATGTCATGCAAATAATGTTGGTAAGGTGAGGTGGCAGCTAGAGACTATTATAATGCCACAGATCTTCAAGACATTATATTCAGAACCATCTGACATGTTAGCAGTTATCTTAAGATGCTTATTCCTATTTTTAAGTTCCAGCTGGCATCAGAAACATAACACTTGCAGATGGAGGAGAACGATTAAAAGATGGGTGGTAACATGATCCTTCTGAGTAGCAAAATGTTTCTGGAACTTTGCCAGCTCACTGACACACTCCATAGCCCCAGGTGTTTTTAAAGGATCCAATAGGTCAGAAGAAAGGACAAGGAGGAGCTCAGATACTGTGACTCTGAGATATGTACAGTATCGCTGTTACAAGACAAGATAAGGTATGTTCAAATATTTCATAGATTTGATTTTGTGTTGTGCAATGGCTTCTTAGAGTAAATTATACACTCTTAAGAAAATAGTTCTAAACTGTACCAAATTAGGGTTCTTTGGCTCATAACAATAGCAGAACCCCTTTTGGTGCTAAATAGAACAATTTTTATAAGGTTCAATAAAGAACCATGCTTTGAAAGTGCAATGTAGGACATTAATGGTGTTATAAATAACCTTTTTAAATAATATATTTGAATAAAATTAGCATGTTAGTACTTTATATTATTTATATGAGCATTATCATATTAGGTAGCCTACCTTTGGTCTATCAACAGTTATTAGATGAATACATTAATAAATGACAACTAAGACTAAATACATTACATAAAACCCAAAATAGAAATAAATGTAATGAAGGCCACATTCCAGTGAAATATCAACCCGATCTCATGAAAGTGCGTATAAATAGTACGCCAAATAAAAACGAAAACTCGTGGTATTGATACGCAAAATTGGACTTTAGCGTGTATATGCTACGCGATGGGTAGGTTTAGGGTTGTGGGGTAGATGCGTATCATATGTACGCGAAAACTGCGTATCATATGCACGCCAACAAATTTCGTATTATATGCGCACCAAACACATGCGTATCATATGCACGCCAAAGTCCATTTTTGCGTATCAATACCACGAGTTTTCGTTTTTATTTGGCGTACTATTTATACGCATTTTCATGAGACCTGGCTTGAAATATCTACACAATCCTCTATGGTATCCATTAATATGTGTATTTTTTGCTGTAATTAAATGGCACTTCCACTCATGATGTTGTGGGATGTGAACCCATCTGAAATAGGCCTACACAATTGAGTTTAGAGTTACAATGTGTCACCTTAATTTGATTATGTAAAAACAATGCTTATGAAGGCCAAAAGAAGCAAAAAATAAATTCAATATCTCTTACTTTGTAGAGAAGAGGAGCAAAGTATCCTTAACTGAACAGAGCTGCTTACACTTACACGTTCTGTTTAACTAAAAAGAGAAAAACACTTGATTAGTTGGAAACCAGTTACAATTTGAACATTTTAATAATTTACCTGTTGATAGTGTGTTGACAGTCTGTGTAGTTGGATGGTTGAGCACTAGAAAATCAATACTGAAGGTGGCTTTGGCAGTTAAAGATTTGAAACATAAAAAGGCGGGAAGGAAAGAACACTAAACTCTGACACAAAGAGCCATTTCAGCATAAAAGGGTTCTTCAGGAAGATATGGTTCTAAATAGAACTGTTACTGTGAACCTTTAAATAACCATCTTTATAGTGTGTATGTCTGGTTTTGAGTTTTTAGTGCGGAGAAAGTATTGAATTTGCATCAGGGAAATGCAAAATATGATTTTGATGAGGAGCCTTCAAGCCTCTAAGCACAGTGGTCAAAATTATTTGCCTGTTTCCTGAGAGAAGCACTGCATTTTTGCATTTTAATAACTCTGTGACAAAGACTCACTTTGAAAAAAAAAAGAAAGAAAAATTTCAAATTTAAAGGGACAGTTTGCCTAAAAATGTTGTCATTGTGTACTTTCAAAACATGCATGACTTTGGCTTTATCTGTGAAGAACAAAAGGTTAATTTTTGTGCCAACTATCCCTATAAAATTTAAATCTGAATAAGAAATTCAAGCTAGAAATAAAATTACTTTTTAAATGAAAACTTTGTTTTCTTTTCAGCCTCGTTCAGATGTTCTGTAAGAGTTGGCTACTGGTTGGTCTCTTCATCCTACTTAATATTTTAGTGCTGTATTTCACTGCCATTACCCTCGAAACAAGAAAGTGGCAGAAAATGGCGAGAAAAACAGGGAACCCCTATGTTGCTTACCCTCAAAATTACAGATTTATCCTCGACCAGCCAAAGAAGTGTGAACAGCAAAAGCCCTTTGTGGTGATTATCGTCCCTGTGGCCCCGCAGAACGTCAAGGCACGTAACGCCATCAGGATAACGTGGGGCAGCGAGGAGCTCGTCCGGGACAAACTGGTGCTGGTTCTCTTTCTTCTGGGCTCACAAAGTGGTAACGAAACACTGCAGGAGCAACTCCAGAATGAGAGCGAGGAGTATCAAGACCTTCTCCAGAGCAACTTCCTGGATTCCTACAGGAATCTGACCATTAAGACCTTGGTGATGATGGAATGGCTCAACAGGAATTGTCCACAGGCGTCCTACGGAGCAAAAGTGGATGCTGATGTGCTCCTCAATATGAAAAACCTATTACATATGCTTGTGAGTCTGAAATCACTACAACATAACTACATCACCGGCCTAGTATTGTCTGGAAACAATGTCTTGAGAGATCCATCCAGCAAGTTTTATATCCCTCATGATGTGTATCCTAAATCCAGATATCCTCCGTATCCTCTGGGCATGTGTTATATCTTTTCTATGGACTTACCAGAGAAGATCCTGCACATCTCAAGGCATATCAGACCTATTTTTATTGAGGACGCATATCTGGGCATGTGCTTGAAGCGTTTGGGAATCGCACCTAAGAAACCACCAAATATTGGACAGTTTGTGGTCAAACCACCACAACGATTCAATCGCTGTTACTATTCTAGACGAATAGCAATACTCACAGACAGCCAGACTCAGCTGATTTCCTATTGGATGGATATTCACTCAACCAAAAGACCCTGCTGAAAAGTCCTGCTATGAGTCTAAATTTATTTTTCTAGAAATGAAAAGATCTGTAGTTACAGGCTAAGCTTAAAGTATTTTTACAACAGCAGCCTGTTTGTTTAACCCGATAGCTGTGTGTCTTTGTATTATTTGATACATTTCCATACTAAGTGATATACTCGATCTATGAATTTGAAATGTAAAACAACACTGTCTTTACAACATTCCTTTTACACCTTTTATGTAAATGAACTCATTCAGGACACAAATAATTTTTGTAAAAAAAAATGTATAAAATATATTTGTTTGAAATCTAAATATACACTGTAAAAAGTAATGAGTTGAACTTACATGGAAAACCTGTGGAAACTGATTGCCTCAAATTTCTCAGGCAAATTAGTTTATCATTTTTGAGTTAATAAAACTTACTGTAACTTTGTATAGGTAACTTGTGTATAAGTATAGGTTACCAGAAAACTTGAGTGTTGGTAACTCAATTTGACAAGTTCAGCCAAATTAGAGATTTAAGTTAAGCTTAGTGCACAGAGGGCAAGCCAAAAAGCTGAAATCTTACTGTTATTTGACAGCTTGAAGAAAAAAAGATTCAGAACCCTATCTGTAAAAAAAAAAAACTTAACCATTTCAAATTGTATTCACTCTAAGACTGTATTCATTGTTCTTTGCACCAGACAATGGAAACATACCTTTAATCCAACAAACTAGATGCTCTTAAGTACTGTTTACTAAAGTTGTTCAGTTTTACTATTGCATCCACCTGAAAGTTCACATAACACAGTGTAATTAAGTAAACTCAACAAATTTGTAAAAATCAGTTGTGTTTACTCGCTTTTCTTAAGTAGATTCAGTGATTACTTTTTACAGTGTACTGTATATTACCATTTTATGAAATAAATGAATAATAAATGAAAAATAAATGAAATAAAAATAACAAAAAAATAGCTGAATTTAAAGACATACTCTCTGGCATCTTAAAATATTAAGCATACAGATTTAATGACCACATATTAATATGAAATATTTGTATTTAAAAGAATAGTTCACCCAGAAATAAAAATGGGGTCAAAAATGTTTCTTTATTGGAACAGATTTGGAGAAATTTAGCATTGCATCACGTGCTCACCAATAGATCCTCTGCAGTGAATGGGTGCCGTCAGAATGAGAGTCCAAACAGCTGATAAAAACATCAGAATAAAAAGTAATCCACACGACTCCAGTCTATCAATTAATGTCTTGTGAAGTGAAAATCTGCATGCATCCACTATAAAGATTTTTAAACTTCAAACTTTTTGCTTCTGACTAAAATACGAATTATTGATCCTCTACAGTGAATGGGTGCCATCAGAATGAGAGAGAGAGCTGATAAAAATAAAACAATAATCCACAAGTACTATAATTCACATGACCCCAATCCATCGATTAAAGTTGAAAAACTGCATGCATGCATTAATAAAACTTTTTACATTTCAAACCATTGCTTCTGACTGAAATACGAGTCCATAATATTGCATTCGTCAGTGAAAAAGTCATGTCTGAATCAGGAGAGAAATATGGACAGATCAAGCACTGTTTACAAGTTTACTTGTGGATTATTGTGATGTTTTATCAGCTGTTTGGACTCTCATTCTGGCGGCACCCATTCACTGCAGAGGATCCACTGGTGAGCAAGTGATACATTTCTCCAAATCTGAACAAACAAACTCATCTTGGATGACCTGAGCGTGAGTAAATCTCAAGCAAATTGCCATTTTTGGGTAACCTATTCCTTTAAAAATCCATTTGTCATCATTTTAAATAACCTAGTGATATTAAATATAAAATATAGATTATACACTACCCTATTAATGTAACATCTTGATGTTGATAAAAAGGTCCATGGACACATTAAGCATCATCTACTCACATACTGCTTGTAAAACCCATAAATTCTGTGGTTGACAAAATAAATAGGGCTCTATTTGAGGACTGACTAAAAAGCATGTGCTAAAAGCAATTGTGACCCTGGAGCACAAAACCACTCTCTCATCCACACGGGTATGTTTGTAGCAATAGCCAACAATACATTGTATGGGTCAAAATTATAGATTTTTCTTTTATGCCAAAAATCATTATAGGATATTAGGTAAAGATCATGTTCCATGAATATATTTTGTAAATTTCCTACCGTAAATATATCAAAACTTAATTTTCAATTAGTAATATGCATTGCTGATGACTTAATTTGGACAACTTTAAAGACGATTTTCTCAATATTATGATTTTTTTGCACCTTCAGATTCCAGATTTTCAAATAGTTGTATCTCGGCCAAATATTGCCTAACAAACCATACATCAATGGAAGGGTTCAAAAGGTCAGCTTGTTCTGTTTATTGTGAAGATTTTGCGATTTTGGACAATTGTATATGACCCTTTCTATCTATGCAAAAACAATAAAAAAATGATCCCCCCAAAAAATGGTCACTTATGACTGGTTTTGTGGTCCGGGGTCACAATTTTGCTTCCTGCAGGGTATGCTAACCATGCACCACTGTGCACCACATAAGCAGACCAGATAGTCAACACAAAATGAGCAGTTTATATATATTTACATTTACATATACATATATCCATAGCCTGCATGGACAATATAACCTCAGAATAGGAATTTTGGATTTAAATCGGCTACTGCTCTAGAGTCACTAGAGGGCAGCAAAGTTTTCACCTTCTCTCTTGAAGTTTTTTGTGTGGAAACTAAATATTTACTGACACAAATGACTGACACAAAATATAGGCCTAACAAATACCATACTACAGAGTCTACAAACACCATTCTACAGTTGTTGTTTTTTGCAATAGGCCTACGTTGTGGTGACTTGATAACCACCAGCTGTCAAGAAAACATTACAATGAGTTAAATGTATAAATGAATTAAAATTGAAGGATTTTTTTTTCAAATGCCAGAACATGACTAAAGGATACCCCATATTAATACATATATAGAGTCGCATTTACAATTAAACCAAAAGAAATAGGTGCCCTAGGCAACATGAAAAGACGATACCTGAGGAGGAAGAACAATTTCCGAGCGCGGGTGTGGCTAGGGGCGGGAGACACCTGTTGTTTTACAGATGGAGGCTCTTGTTTGCTGGCACAAACATCGACTGAGACACTTTACTGGATATTTGTGTTAAAGTGCTGGACTTGGCTGTCTAAACGGCAGGAGCGTGAAACGCAGAAACACGCATCACAAACGCGTTTCAGAGGCGTTCACCTGGCGTCTGATGTAAGTAACATAGCCTACTGTACGTTTATTTCGAGAGTTTGATTCGTAGTCCTTTGTCGTACTTTATAGTGTAGGCTACAGTAGTGAAAAAGAAACAGGTGGTGGGTTTTAAGTAGTGGGGTTGTCAAAGTTACCGCTTCGAACTAATATCGCGAGAAATGCGTGTATTTAAGAGGAAAATGGCGATTTTTGCGGAAATTGTGTCAGATTTTTTAAAAATAGAATATTGTCAAGATATTATCACAATACTACAATTACTAGTTCCATGTTAGGTTAAATGGATAAATTCATAATGTAAATTTAATCTTAACATAGCGTTAGCTAATTGTTTTAGTAGGCTATGATGACCCATTCATTAATGAAATGAGTAAATACTCATACTACTACTAGCCTATAACTAGAACTATTAATAATACAACATGTATTTCAGAATTAGGTAAAGACAATAGGCCAGGGCCAACAATTAGGGAACACTTTAAAATAAATCAGCGTAATATGATACATGAAACTATTTTATAACCTAATTGAAATTGTTTAGTGTAAGGGAGTCGTTTGTAACATATTTAACACAAAACCAAATAAGAAAACTAGACTAGTGTATGAGAAAGTTGACCTGTATTCACCCTATATGCCATCATACACGAAACCTTTGGTTTCTAGTGAGAAGCATTGAGTTTCAGCCTCATTTAAAATGCAAGTGTAAGTTCACACCTGCCTTACCTTTCCAATTCAATAGAATAAGTTGTAGAAACCTGACAAGGGTGTGAGTCTCGCGCTAAACGTCAGTGTTTTACCAGCCAAACCAGATGTAACTGACACTCATATGTCTGGGGTCTCTCTGCACCTTTTGTTGAGTTTGGCATACAGCCATAACTGTTAACTGGAGCAGTACCTGCATCGATAAAATGAGATTTGTGTGTGACTCAAATGAATTGTACCCATTATCATTGTGTTTCAATGTGGCTTTGTGCTTATCTCTTGATTGCAAATATGCAATAAACCAAAAAAAACAAACAAACCAGGGTTTAGGAATGTATAGTGTGACACGTCAGAGTATGATTAATTGTTAACTCTGGGTCTGAGTATGAGCAATGTGAAACAAAATAAGATTGCACAGGAGTGGGGTTTAGAATTACACTGGGTTAACTTATTTTTGTTTTGTTTTCGAAAGACCTTAAATGTTTCAAAGTTTGAGGTACTATCAGTGATTCTGCCAAATATGCCATTTAGCAGTGCTTGATACTTACTGGTCTATGACTATGCTTCACATGTTATAACATGAGGAAATTCTAATGCTTTAACAATCCAGCTGAGGCAAATCTTGTTTAGTTGATGTAAATACAATGTGAGGAGAGCAACCACATGCCTCAACTTGACTATTTTTTGCAGGCGGACAGGTCTGTTCTATGCAGTTGTTTTGATAGAGAGAAACGAGCTACATTTCTAGTTTCAGCATTATTTATCCTTCAGACATTCCCCTTTAAATAAATACATATTAGCTATATGCAAAGTGACCCAAATTTGGTTAACCATATTTGGATAATGGTTAATAATAGCCACATTGAGTTCCCCATATCTATTCAATTTAATCATATAGGGAATTGGAAAACAAACAAGTGCTTTTTTCCCCCCCATTTTTGAACCATTGTTACGGTCTTTAAGTTAATCTAGGGAAGACCGCAACAGAAAATAAATGGTTGGTGGTGAGACACTGCGACGGCAGAGAAAACGCCGTCTCCAGACCCAGAAAAGCTACAATAACCCAAACAACCACGGTCAAATGCAGCAAAAAGAGAAGTTATTTACAAAGAACAGCGAAATAACAAAAAGGGTATTAACTTCAGACGGGGGCAAGGCCAAAATAACAAACATAAGACTAACTTCTGTAACCCAACTAACTAAACTACAAAGAAAAGAAAACAAAATACAGCAGGTTAAGCTAACTACCTAAACTAACATAAACAGGGGAAAATAAGTAATGCAAAACAAAAATTGCACACACCTTCCTACTAAACTCAAAACAAAAGACAGAAGTTAAAAACTCAATATCTATTATGGGCAACGGAAGTTAACACTCACTTCTCTTTAGATAAGGCCTCTGTCATAGATGTAATCAACGAGACAAAGGACAGAGCTCTACTTCGACAGTCTCAACACAATTGAGTGAAAGATACACCAAATCACCAAACTAAGGCTCCTAAGGACGAAACCTCAGTCGCCGCACACCATCCAGCCACCACCAACTGATGTGGTGTCAAGATGGTCTTCCTGTACACACCATTGGCATGTAATTCCACAAAGCTTGCTAAAATCAACAGATTTTACTAATAGAACTACCAATTTCTATGTAAAAATAACATAATGATGCTGCAATCTTTAAATCAAAATGCTGCAATCAAAAAGTAATTTGGCTCTGAATCTCAGGGTGAAAATTGTAATTTTGATCCCTCTTTGGAAAAAATTGGATTACTCAGTAAATACACATCCATGACATTTAAAGGAATAGTTCACCCAAAAATGAAAATTCTGTCATTAATTAGTTACTCACCCTCGTGTCGTTCCAAACCTGTAAGACCTTCGTTCATCTTCTGAACACAAATTAAGATATTTTTGATGCATTCCGAGAGCTCTCTGACCCTCCCATAGAAAGCAATGATATTACCAAGATCAACGCACAGAAACGTATAGGAGATCGTTAAAATAATTCATGTGACATCAGTGGTTCAACTGTATTTTTACGAAGCTACGAGAATACTTTTTGTGCGCAAAGAAAACAAAAATAACGACTTTATTCAACAATTCGTCTCCTCCATGTCACCCTATAGCGCCATTTTGGAGAGTATCACATACGTAAACAACGAATGCTGTTCTGTGTCAGCAGCACCGTACATGGATACGCTGTTTATGTCATTTACGCTTTAATCTGAACGTAAACAATGTATCCGCGTATATACATTGCATACGTTATTTACGTATGTGATACTCTCCAAAATGGCGCTATAGGGTGA